TAGTATAGCAATCAGGTCATCTGCAAAAGCTTGCAGTTTAAAACTTTCTCCTCTCACTTTCAAACCTTTTATCATTTCATTATTCCTTATTCTTTCGGCTAATGACTCGATCGTAAAAATAAACAATAGAGGAGATAGGGGGCAACCCTGTCTAGTACCTTTTTGAATGGGGATATTCTGACTATACTCCCCATTGACCTGAATTTTGGCATTTTGGTTATTATATATTGTCCTAATCATTGTGAAAAAGTTGTTCCCGCATTCCCAAACCTTAAATTTTTTTAGCATATAACTCCAATTAATATTATCAAACGCTTTTTCTGCATCTAATAGAGTTAATATCATTGGTTTTCCTGGATGAAGTTCATAATATTCTAACACATTAATTATAGTTCTAATATTATTTTGTATTCTTCTTTTGGGTAAGAATCCTGATTGATCTTTATGTATTATGGATACTAATACCTTTTTCAATCTATTAGCCAAAATTTTTTGCGAATAGCTTGTAATCTGTATTTAGTAAGGAAATGGGTCTATAATTTTTTATTTCTTCTTCTTTTGAGTTGGGTTTGTGTATCAAGGTTATTATAGCTTCATTCCATGAGGTGGGCATTTTATTTGATTTGGGAATATTTTGTATTAACTCTTTAAATGGGTCTGAGATCTGTTCTTCAAATATTTGATAGAACTCTGTGGGGATGCCATCTGAGCCTGGGGATTTTCGTTTTTTCCCATTTTTTATTGCTTCTGCTATTTCAAAGGGTGTGATCGGGTCGTTTAGTATTGTTATTTGCTCTTTATTAAATTTACCCTTTTCCCATTTATTTTGATAATCTTGTACTTCCTTATCTACTATTTCTGGTTTTTGATACAGATATCTATAAAAGTTCTCTACTATCCCTTTAATATCTTTTTGTGAGAACTTCTCCTCTCCTTTCTCATTTTTAGTGCCTTAATTACTCTTTTCTCTTTATCTTTTTTCAGCTTATAAACCAGCCACCTCATGGGCTTATTAGCATTTTCAAAATAGTACAACTTAGCGAATTCTATTTTTTTTGCTACCTCCTGGGTTAAGAGTAGATTAAGTTGATGTTGCAGCTTATCTAATTTGTATCTAATGTTATTTGAGTTCCTCTTATTATTTTTTATCTTGTTTTCTTCCTCCTGTATTTTTAATGTCAGTATATCATATTTTTTATTATTTTGTTTCTTTTCCCAAGCACTCTGGTTAATCCACCAACCTCTTATGTATGCCTTGAAGGCATCCCAAATTACATCTACAGGGGTTTCCTTAGAAGTATTAATCTTAAAAAACTCTTTTATTACATTTTTGGTTTTGTCTGCTATCTCCTTATCTTTCAAAATATCTAAGTACATTATCCACCTAGGTTTCCTACTTGTGTTTTTTAAAGAAAGCGCGACTGGGTTATGATCCGCAAAGGTTGATGGTAAAATTTCTATTTCTTCTATATTTTTTATAACTGAGGTCGAAACCCATGCCATATCAATCCTAGACCTTATGTCTAGCTGAAAAAAGGTATATAGCCCGTAATGTTAACATTGAGCAGCTGCCTCAAGAACGAGCAGAATAACATCTAAACACTTTACGTGAAATAAAATCGAAGCACTCTGTTTGAAAACACTTTATTCATTTGATTTTTAACTGCCGCCAGGACTCTGATATTTTATAATGTACTATTTCAATGCTGTGTTTTAATTCTATATTATTTATGTTTTTATTCTGTATTGTTGTGTTGTTGTTGGAAGCCGCCCTGAGCCTGCTTTGCGGTGAGGGCGGGGTATAAATTTGACTATAAATAAATAAATAAAAAGCAGCCCCCCCACTCCCCACCTCCTTGCACCAGCAGAAAACCTGGAAGGATCCAACTCCAAAATCTCCACCACACAGCAGCCTATTCCAAAAAATGATCACTAGTTTCTGGGTCTCATAAGAGGCCAAGCACAGAGATGATTGATTTCTCTCTCGTTTTTCTCTGAAGGCAACACGTTCCATCTGATCAAGACAGGTATTTCTAGTCAGCCCTGGCACTGGGTGATACCTGGCTGCTTTTCGAAGCTGCCGCGAGGAGCTTCTAATTCTGCCTCTGGATACTCCTCCTCCACAGACTTGCAGGGCTGTGAGGCAGGAGGGAGATGCAGGTAGATCACTGGAGAATTAGTGGTCACTCCCAGGCACAGCAGGCCCAGGAAGTATAATGGGAGGCGGCGACAGGTAAGCAGCACAGGGGTCTTCCAAAATCTGGGCTGATGTTAAGAACAAAAAATGCATTTCAGCCTAGCCCATTCAGGCTTATTGACAACACTCATGGTAAGGCGAAGCTTTCCACATTTGGGTATGCAAAGGAAAAAGCAACAGGTAAGGTGATATCTGTGCTATGCCACAAAATGCGTCTGCCTCTGGGGAACTAGTAACTAATGTGTGAAGAAGGGAATGTGTTTCCCTGTTGTGCTCCCTACTCTTCAGAGCTGTATGGATGATCACAGCCTTCCAAACGGATCCACCCTAATCCACAAAACATTCCGGGAGCCCACTGAACTTTTTATCAGCCAACTTGTCCACAAAAAGTCATTATTCTGGCACAACAAAGATGCTTAAAGAGGAAAACAAAACAGCTTTTCTTCCCCTCCACTAGACCTTCCCTCGCCACAGGTGATCAGAGAGGCAATTTACAAGCTTGCTACAAAGACTGGGAAACCACCGAAGCCCATGAATGCTAAGGAAAGGTCTCCTCTTCCCCAACAGGGAGTCCTCTGCTCACCAGCAGTGAGGGTTCTTCCATTTGCTAGGAAGAAACGCGATATGCATACTTAAAAACAAATACACACAACCGACACCGTCAGGAAGGCCGGAAGCAGCCGTTCATAAATGCTTGTCCTACCTGAGGTAGCGTCGGCCACTGTGGAAATCCCTCTGCGGTCCGAAGTTGGTCGGGATGACCCTGGCATGCTAACGGGTTCGGAGCGAACAGGCTGGATCCTGCAATGGAAATGACAACCGGCTGTTGAGGGGTCTGAATCCCTGCTTGTTAAACAGAAAATAAGCCTCGAATGCTGCTAATACACATACACACACACACACACACACACAAGTATTGATAGGAAGGTGTCTAATCTCTAAGTGGATCAGCCTGTACTGGGGCCAGCCTCCAAACAGATGTCAGGTGGGGTCATTTCCTGCAGGAGCGCACCGGAGCGGAGCTCTGGCAATAAAGAGCCCAGGGGGCGGGCACATGCAACAAGCCCCACCCCCTGCTCCCAGCAGCCCTCAGTCAGAGCAAGAAGCAGCCAGGTAAGTTGCAGAGCTCCCCCCGGCCCCCCGGTCCAAAACAGTCCAGTGGCACCTTTAAGACCAAGTTTTATTCAAGTACAAGCTCTCCCTCCTCTGTGAGGGCAGGTCTGCACGCTCCCCGCCCCCCAATAGCTAGCCATCCAAAACAGTCCAGTGGAGCCTGAGCGGTGGGTGTTGCCTTCTGACACACTGCCAGTGATGTTAGGGGGTGTGGCATATGCAAATAAGTTATGCTAATGAGCTCCTGCACCTCTTTTTCTACGAAATGACCCCTGGATGTCAGGTACAGATCTGAGGGGTGTTCCAGGTGGGCAGCTGTGCTGGTATGCAGTGGAAGAGCAAGATGCAAGTCTGGTAGCACCTGAGAGACCAACAAGATTTCCAGGGTGGAAGATTCCGAGAGTCTAGGCTCCCTTCAGCAGACTGAAGGGAGCTTGGACTCTTGAGAGACACACCATGGAAACCTTGCTGGCCTTGAAGGTGCTGCCAGACCAGAGACTTGAGGGGCATGTCTGAACTTTTTATCTGAGGTCGCTGGTGCTTAAGCTGTGGGATGGACCCTCCCGGGGGGGGGGGAGGAGCAAGATGCCTGTGGGGGTGTGCACAGCACATCTCACAATTCCAAAACAGGCTGAGCCCAGGATGCTTTCCAAGCCACAGCAGATCCGGTCTGCAGGCCACGCGAGTGCTGAGCTGCAGGAAGGCCTTTGGAACCCCTTGCCCCTGCAGTGTCTCCCCTCCGGGCTGGTCTTCAGAGGAAGTTTGAGAGGCCCAGTTCTGGTCCTCCTCTCCCGAGGACAGTGCTGGATTCGTGTTCCTTCCCACAGATCCTGAGGCACACCAGTCACAGGCTGCAGACGTGCCCTTTCAGTGGGGGAATTGAGATGGCTGCCGGCGGGTTCTCTAAATATGGCAGGTTAAGTTTCCAAGGGGAGAGGGGAGTGAGTTCCAAACGTGTCGAACGTGCAGACTTCACAGATGGAGGTGAACACAGAGTTCAATGCTGGGGGTGGGGGTGAGTGTCTGCTGGGTGGAAACAGGGAGACGACACTCCGGGCAGGCGGTGTGAATGCTGGTGCGTCTCCTGGATCCGGTAAGTGCAGGTCTATTCCCCAGGTCCTCTGCGCTGACCAGAGTCAGGCTGCCATGGAGACGTTGCTGGGCTCAGCTGAAAGGCGGTGAGCTTCTGTCACCCCACTGGCTCCTGGAGCAAAGGGCATCAGGGTTCCACCCAGGCAGGCCCTTTGCCCTCCTGCAGCTCCGGGGCAGCTCCGGGGCATCTCCTCGACCTCCCCTAGCCAGGGCAAACCCTTTCACCCATCAGCTGAAGCCTCCGTTTCCCGGCTCTTCCCACCGTTTCTGCCTCTCAGCGTCCCATGCAGGGGCCCCACCAAAGGTCGCTGCCTCCTGCTCACCCGGTTCTCAAAGGCCTTCCCCTGTAAAGAACCAAGCCTCTGCCGGAGGAGGTCCCAGCACGGCTTGGCCGTGGCCTCGTTCCTGCAGCTGACAGGCTAGATGATATCCCGTCTGGCTCTTCACAAAACAGGCACAGTGAATTCTTTCCTCTGCAGTAGTGACTAAACATGACATCACTCCGCTCTCCAAGATATAAGGACAGGTGGACTCCCATTCTAGCTGTATCTGAGGAAGGGAGCAGGGACTCACGAAAGCTCCTCCCCTGCCACAAATTTTGTTAGTCTTCAAGGTGCTCCTGGACTCTTGCTCTTTCATCTACGGTGTGAGTCCAGCTTTGAAGTTTGGGTTATACACCTACACACCAATCAACAAGTGGAAACTCAGACCGGCTCTCCTTCTAATGTCCATCTTCCTCTAACCTTTTACATTGCTGAAATATTTCATGCAGAAATATCCTTCACTTTGCCAAAAAAAACAAGAATCACTGACCTGCTCCAGGAGTTGGGGAAGGGAGATGTTTATTGGCCAGGTTCATCTAGGCACTAACCCAGAAGTCTCCAACCCTTTTGAGGCTGTTGGGACCTTTGGGATTTCGAGAGGGGACGGTGGCCACCACCCTGGAATGGCTGCCACAGACAGTGGCGCCAAACCCAATTCCTCCGTCTTCCCTTTGCAAAAAAAAAAAACCTGCAGAAGGGGAATAAAAAGAAATGAGAGGCCTAGGCTGCGATCAGATCCAACATAGCTGCGAATGCCTGATGGATCTAAAGGGCTTGATCAGACAGCAACATCTGGGAAGCGTCCTGCAGCTGTCGGCAACCCTGCTGCTCTGCCACAGAAGTGGAGTTAAAAGAAACTGGGGAAAGCCTGGCTCTAATGGGTTCCAACGGGCCACAGACGGACTTTCCCCATCTGATCACGCAAGAACGCTCTCATGCTGTGGGGATGGTCTGACCAGGCCATCCCGACTCCGTGCTGTTCCCCCCCCCTTGCAGTATGCGCATCATCACATACTCCATAGGGGGCCTTCAGTGCGGAGGTGCGATTCCTCATTTACCCGCATGAGAAATGAACAGCAATAAAACCCCCGATTCACCCGCAGTTGCGTCTGATCACACAGTGACAGGCTGAGCCAGCAGCTACAATGGGATGTGTGATCTCGCCACTGTGTGTCAGATTCCTCTGGAGGAAACAGCCTCGCTTCCCCTCCACTTCAACTGGCGCGTGTGACCGCAGCCCTAGGGAGAAAGAAGGAGGAGGAGAAGGGGGAAGAAAGAGGAAAGCTTAAAGGGGGAAATGGAACCACAAGCCTGGACGCTTACTAGTCCTCCTGACCCTCCAGTTGCTGCTGCTGCTGGCTCCCCCGCGGAAAAACCAACAACACGCCTTCACTTACAAAAGCCCCACCCACTTTCTGAAAAGCTCAGCAGGTGCAAGGGGAAGTGCTGGCAGGCCACGGTGCCCATGGGCACCGTGTCGGGGAACCCTGCACTAGGCAATAAGACCCACACACACACACTCACAGAGAGCTTTCCCCCAAATCAGCCGGTATCACCATCAAAAAGGGTTTGTTCTGACATCAGAGAAAGGCACTTTCAATCCACCTCCACCATTTAAAAACTCTGTATGGGTCCCTGTTTTTACCTTCCCCAGCCCTTTGCAGCGACTGATAGGAAAGATTTCAATTTGTGATTTTTTAAAATACATCTAAAGCAAGAACGATGCAAAGCAAATCCAAAAAGACAAGTAACATTAAACAAGGGGTGCTCTTCCCCGATCGGGCTATGAGTCACTCTCAGAGGGAACAGAAGTCATGAACTAGCATTAGGTCCTGCTTTGTTATCCTGGAATGTTATAGCTGTTGGCAAAGAAGCAGCTAGAAACATATTTCCACCATGTGATTTAGTTTTGTCCAGTAATAACAATGACCAAAAAAATCATATGTGAGGGAAGAGGTTATCTGAGGCACTGATAAGTCTGAGTACTAGAATTTTTGAAAATACACATAAAACCGAAATAAATTCTGGAAGGAGTAAGGGAAGACCTGACAAAATCAAGTTTCTACCCATGTGAGGAGAAACTACTATAAAATAAAATACGGGGGGGGGGGGGGGGGGACAGAACTGGGATCATTCGTGCCAAAATGTTTTGGTTTTTTTTTAACCTGAGACTGTTTAGGTCCAGATCATCCGTATCAAAGTCCAGGAGAGGCTGGGGGGTGTCATTGGGGCCATGGGACTGGAGCACTGAAGAACTGGACGAAATGACTGTCGTTTGGCCGGAAGGGTGAATCGTTTTGAACTGGAACTGGGGGCCCATCCACAGGCGCCGGTGGGGTCCAGTGTGGGTCACAATTTCAACCTAGGAAAGGATAACCAAAACAGGATTACAGCCAAGCCCAACGGCGCATTATAGCTAAGCTCTGAAGCTAGTCAGGTATCTTCATATTCTCTACCTTATGAGCACAAAATGTTTGTATCCTGAAAAAAGATCAGCATCTCGGGAACTGAAACGTGGAGCTACACATTACGACTTACAAAGGAAGCTACAGGTCTCAGTTTGCAAGACCTGAGCAAGACTGTTAATGATGGGACACTTTGGAGGTTTTCAGTGTTCCCACCCCTCCCAAGCAGCATCTAAAGATGCGAACTGCGGGGTGGGATGATGGGAGTAACCACACACCCCGGAGCCAGTAACGCTACCCACTCCAGGAGGAAAGTCAACGTGGGCCCTGTTCACATGGAGGATTTGCCACGGGAAAGCGACGATTGCATGGCGGATTATCCAGCCGCAATCACACCGCAACATCTGGGAAGTGAGCGCACCCGTGGCGTACCACCAAAAATGCGCGATTAAAAACTACCTGCTCGAAGATACTAGCAACCAGTTTGCCACGGGCTGCCTCCAGAGTCCCTCGGTGTGATCGCGCTGGCCGCGGCTTTTCCCACCGGCCTCTCGTTGATGCGGAGGCGCGGAGGGAAGGAACCGTGGCATGCCGCCGATGCGTGGGATCGCGTTATGGCGGCTCTAATTGCGGCAGCACAAAAAGCCCTCCCCCCCCGCGTTATCCGGCCCGTGTGACCGGGGCCATGGTGATGTTGTGATTGACAGCAGTTCTGTATTTGAGTGAAACACACAGTTCTATTTTCAGCTCCTTTAAAACTGACCAAGTGCTAAGTACATTCCAACCCCACCCTGCTCTTCCTTTCCTACCCTCCTTGACCTCATCAAGGGCAAAAAGTCTGAAATGGACATCCATTTTCCCATTCCGTGGATAGTGTATCAAAACAGCTAACCAGTCGCATCAGATGTGGCTCTCCAAATCGGGTGTACTAACATGAGTGAGAGCAACAAACTCAAGCATCGAAAGAACAAGGGCATGTCTTATAGAAGCACAGTTTCGAAGATCAGAAAAGGGAAAAGCAACCATGCTTGGAGGGGCGGGAGGAAACCGAGACCCCCAATCTAAATTGACCCAGACTTTCAGAGACATCTGTATTCTTCTCCACGTTGGCTGTATCTTTGCGGAGATGCGTTTCCTTGGTTAAGCGAGCACCTATTGTTTCTGCTGATGCTCAAATTTCAGTGCTCTAGGTGACTTATGATTGTTAGAAGTAATTTTGTTTCTTTTACATAGTCTTGCTCTCGGGCAATTCCTTCCAAGCTCAGAAGAATGAGAGCGCCCAGGCTGCTCCATCCCACACCCACGTTTCCCCTTCTCGTGGGGGGAACTCAGGCTGACTCTGCCTGATGCAAGCGGCTCTTTGCTCAGCTATGTAAATTAGGCCACGACTAAAGCATTCTGTATATTTTAAGCTCGAAACCATCAGTGCCGCACAGCCGAGAGGTAAACAGATGCCTCTGCAATTTCACCGAGGGTACGGCCAGATGTTCCTATTCGCTCCCCCCGCCGCGTGCAGGACAAACATATTGTATCTACTTCCCAATGACAGCATGCATTACCCACTCTTCTAATTGAGAAGTTGAAGCGAAGGGCAGTGTTTCTTCGCCGCATGCTGTTACCGTCGATAACAACACTTGCGTTCGGGAAAAACATACACGCACCGCGGGCTTTAATCTAAAGTGGCTGGCTCAGGCGACACGAGCGTCTTTCGCGTTCCGAGGAGATACGGTTGCTTTTTCCACTTAGCAAAACTTAAAGCATCTCTGTGCCCTCCTCGAGTGACCCAAAGGACTTCTGACAGGGGATTCGCTTTAAAAAATAAGTCCCGTTACTGTGAATGTCCCAAAGGTGCTGGAATGTCAATGTGAATGCTGACAATCCAGATGAGTTCTGTGAATGTCCAAACACTCAGAGATACACAGGGGGACGCTGCCAGCCACCTAAATGCGGCGCTCAGAATTCAGGGGTGCCCCACGTGGCAAAGAGGGTGACAGGGTCGGCACAGTGCCTTAAATGGGCCTATCAGCCCCCCGCCCCCTAGCCCTCTCCGGCCCCTGGGATAGGCCCAGCAGTGAGACAGGGCAGGACCAAGCTTCCTGCGCTTGTTGCAGCCTGGCCCCTTCCTGTCTCCGCTGGCGAGAGCTCCTGCAGCCACCATCGCCCTCTTTGCTCTCTCCTCCACTCTCCCTGCAGGGCCACTAACAGGACCCACAGTAAATCCGGGGCCCGGCTTATCTGAGTCTTGCCGTTTGGATCCCAAAACACAGGGCTGCAATATAGGACAGAGCACATCCTGTACCTACGACACAGCACGGCGGGCCACATCCATTATGTTACAAACCCCGGCACATAGTGCCATCTTCACCTTTGTCTGCCGGGGGCTCAGTTTTAACCCAGCAGAAGTTCAGCTGATGTTGTTGCCCAGGAATCGGGCGCACCGTTCCCATACCTGAGAAAGCCACTCTTCATCCTCCTGTCCACTGTGGTCGGAGGCCAAGCTGTCGTAGGATTCGTGCCGAGTGATGGGCCCCGGACTTCCCGGTGGAACCACTGTGGCAAAAGAGAGGGAAGTAAAAACGAGATGCGGCGCAGAGTCCTGACACGAAGATCCCGTTCAGCACCGCTTGGGAGAAACAGAACTTGCTTGCTCAGGTCCTTTCTTACCCTCCTCTCCTCAAAATGGCTTATTCAGAATAACACAACGCAATTCAAATTAAACAATATGCAGCAGGTTAAAAAAATGCAAAAAACACACTGAGAAGAATATGAAGCCAGCATAAAAATTCAAGAGCCTATCTAAAACAGCAGCTATCAACCCATAAAGCCAGCCTAAGCTACCAGAAGTCCATCGCCTCCTAATGTGTGTCAATGAGAGACCCCTTGGGAACTGTACAGAAGCTACTCAGATCCTGCAAGGGGTCAGCCCCCAGTGACCTGTCTCTAGCTGTAGTCCTGTTATGGAACACAAACTAGGTGTCCAACGAGGCAGCCACCATCCTGGGGTTGCAAACACCGTTCTGACAGAGGCCTCCATGATGCTCAGCAGCATGAACCTCTTCATTGGTGGTGGGAGGTGCCATCAAGTCATAGCCAACTTATGGAGACCCTGTAGGGTTTTCAAGGAAAATGACATTCAGAGGTGGTTTTGTTGCCAGAGGCACTGCCTTTTACTCTTGGGTAGCCCCAAAGCAACGACACCCCACTTTCTAACCTGACCCAGAGACCCACAAAACTGTGGCCAAGGAAGGCACTCCTGGTTCTGAAACACAGAGCTAGCCACAGCTCTGAAAAAGGGGGTCCCCATTTTCAGGTTTCATAAGGCAACCTCAGAGCAAGTCTCCAGTCTTCCCCCCTCCACCCAGCAGAGATGATGACAAGAGTTCCAGCAGGTGAAGTACCTACATTTTCGATTCAGAGGCCACCTGGCAAATAGTCCTCTTCTCACCAGTACCTCACCCAGCCCTTTTGTGTTGTCCTGTGTCTATGTGTGAAGTCTTTGTCCTTCCTTGTTCCATCCCTCAGGATACCAATCAAGCATTCAAATGATTAACGATCCTTCCTGATGCTAATCAGGGACTCATCCCAACTTTTGTCTATATTTGGGAACCTATTCAACTGCCTCGGTCAGGACCATTAGTGGCCAGATAATCCATTCAACTAGCCACCCAGCACCTGGCTTCTATTGTTAAATCCAGACCCTGCCTCTCTGGAAGCCCATTGGTCACATCTAGGCCTTGCCCATCCTGATGCCACACACCCCTGGGACTCATCATTGGTCCAGGAAATCTACTGTTCTCACCTGAGACCAGCCCCCAGGGCCGGCCATTGGTCTGCATTGTCTTTCATAGGGTATATCCCAACGAACACGTGGCCTCAGACCGTGTGTTTTCTGCCCTGATGCCAACTGGCAGTCCACCCCTGAAACCCTCTGGGTTTAAGGCCACAATCCTTTCTTCATGGACCTCTGCACATCTGGACAGGTAGTATCACCCCATAACCCCTCCATTAGCTATCAATCACCTCTGCTTCCTTAAGTCTATATTGTGTGTGTGAATTTATTTATTTATTTTATTTATTATTGTATTTCTATCCCGCCGTCCCTGCGACCAGGCTCAGGGCGGTTCACAGACAAGGGCGACATGTGCCAATATAAAACAATAAAAGCAGATAAAATAGCATATTTAACAATGATAAAGTGCTCAGTGATGTTACCCACTTAATCACATCAAGATGGTGACCTATAGATGTTACCCAAAAGCCCGTTTCAGCGGTACTGATCCACTGGAACACTGTGGCTAGATCTTTATAATGGGCCATCCCATTACCTGTTATTGCCACGAGATAGTTGTTGTTGTTGGTAGTGGTAGTGGCGGCTCCTAAGTAAAAGCCTGGTGGAAGAGCTCCGTCTTACAGGCCCTGCGGAATGGTGAAAGGTCCCGCAGGGCCCTGATCTCCTCCGGGAGCTCGTTCCACCATGTAGGAGCCGCCACTGAGATTTAATTATTGTTTGTGTGCTTGAGAATATTTAGTAAAGAAATCCTTATTTTAGCCACCCAGTCTCTTTGTCTATTCCTGGGTTCTTGGGAATTCTAACTCTGGTATATACAGGTCTAATCCTATAGAGATGCCAATTGCATATTAATATCATAATTCCCCAATCTTTATTAAAGAAATAGAGCCATTTGGCGAACAGTTTGCCATTGCCCACCTCTGCGTCATGACTCCAGACTTCACTGGGGGCCTCCTATCCAAAGACTAACCAGAGACAACCCTGCTTAGCTTCTCACAGGATCGGGCTAGCCTGGGCCACCCAGCTCAGGGCACAAACCGCTGTGCAGAAGCTACAACCCACCCATGGTCTCTCCTCTTCTTCCCAGTGGCAGAACCGTCTGCAAGACCAAAGATTTTTGCAACCATTTCAATAAATAAATAAAAAGATCAGAACTGGCCCAATCAGTCTGTTGAGATGGATTCCTTAAGATGTCTACAGTGGCACATCACAGAGATGCCAGTTGGGTAAGAGAAGCAAAACCCAGAGGGACGTTCAGCTGAATCCCCCCACCCTTGCCTAAGTGAACTCCGAAATCAACCCCCAGGATGGGCTTCCCAGGGACTCAGGCCTACCGCAGGCTTCCTTAGCAAAGAGCGCGCCAGAAGTGCAAGAGGGCAAGACTCAGTCTGCAGTTGATTTGCTGGTACGCCTGTCATGCAAATCACGAAGCAGGGGTTGTGTGGTAGGTGACCAAATCCCAATACCAAATTTTGTAGGCTGTCAGGCACGGATAGAATCATAGAATGTTAGAGTTGGAAGGGACCTTGCAGGTCATCTAGTCCAACCCCCTGCACTCTGCAGGAGCAGAGCCGAAAGATAGCCCTACATACCTACAACATACCCAAAAGATGGTCGTCCAGCCTCCGCTTGAAAACGTCCAGCGAAAGAGCACCCACCACCTCCCGAGGCAGACTGTTCCACTGCTCAACCACTCTTACAGTTAGGAAATTTCTCCTGATATTTAGCCGGTAACGACTCCCTTGAAATTTCCACCCATTAGATCTAGTCTTGCAATCTGGAGCAAGAGAGAATAGATCCGCTCCATCTTCTACATGACAGCCCTTCAAATACTTGAAGACTGCAATCATGTCCCCTCTAAGCCTTCTCCTTCCCAGGCTAAACATACCCAACTCTTTCAGCCTTTCCTCATAAGGCTTGGATTCCAACCCTCTCACCATCTGGATCTGGCTGGCGGGCCAAGACCTACCTCAGCCAAAGGATAAAATTGCAGCCAAGAAATCTTTTAATGATCAGGTGCACCAGAGCATGTCCGGGGGATATCACCTTCATTTAAAGCCCACTCTTCTCCCCTGTGGGAACCCAAAGTGGCTCACGAAGTTCTCCCCTCCTCAATTTTATCATTGCAACAACCCTGTGAGGTAGGTCAGGCTGAGAATGAGTGACTGGCCCAAGGTCACCCTGCAAGCTTCCATGAGGATTTGAATCTGGGTCTTCTAGACCCTCAACCACTATACCACACTGGCTTTCCTTTCTGGTCTGAGCAAAGAGGGTTATTTTGCACTGGATGCCCCCAGCTGAGGCTGAGTTGCATTGGCCTTGCCCTCAACAAAACTTGGGTCTGATGAAGTATGGACTACTACACAGGGCTGTTGTGAAGGTTAAAAAGTGGTACTGTGGATACCTTGGAAGAACAACCAATGCATCTTGAAACTGTCGGACTTGGGGAGGATCTGGATTCGAATCACTGCTTAGCAACTAAGTTTACTGCAGAGCCCTTGGGCTCATCCGCGTCCTCGGCAGTGTTCCTTCTAAGCTGAGTTAGTGCGAGGCTAGCTCACAGTTATTTAGCCTCCAGCTCACATTTTTGTCTTAGCTCATGAAGGATGGCTCCAGAGTAAACTAATTTATGCAGCAGCTAAGTTGCTCGCTCACAACTTTAATGCCAGTAGCCCACAAAGCAGAATTTTTGCTCACAAGACTCTGCAGCTTAGAGGGAGCATTGGTCCTCGGAGCCTTGCTTACCTCCCAGGGATACCCTGGGGACCCCGACTGGATGGGAAGGCGGCATAAAAAATGTATAATGAGATAAGGGAAATCCCCGATCTTCTTAGCAGAAGGGTAAGACTAAAAATGTGATAGTAAGATAAAATATTACTATTAATAAAGTAACACCCTCAAGGACTTAGGGATCCAAAGGGACAGAATCGTAGACCTGCCTGAAACCCAGCCCATCTTGAAACGTAAGCAACACTTGGACTTCGTTTGCTGTGCAGATGCAAAGATATTCCCAGACTGCCTCTCTTCCCATTTTTCCGCCGGCAGCGCCAAAGCAGACGCGGAACGGCTTCTGTAGAACTGACAACTCCGAGAGGGAACTCACCCCCGACAAACGCCATTGTCAACGATACGACGCCTAATGCAAAGTTTTCAGAAACTGTCCGCTTTGGGAGAGGCAGAAACCAAGCTAAGCAGCAGTGACAAAACTTCTCCCCCGGCAGCAGCGGGGCGTCCGCCTGCCCTCAACAGCCATTCTTCTCCGGCTGGGGGTGCCAGAACCGTCACATCGTTTTGACATTAATGCAACTTATTTGAAGCTGCCTCGACAATTAAGTTGGCTGAGATCTTTTTGGCAGGTGGGAGAGGATGATTTACATCTTGGAAGCAGCTGTTTGGCCAGACAGCCATCTTTTATCACCGTTAAGTGAAACCTATAACTGAAAGATACAACGGCGCAGAACGCCCCCTCCCTCAATCAGGACACCTTAGGGGACAAAGAATTTGCCTACAGTTTGGGGACGTCTAGAATTAAGGGTGACATAATGAATGGGGGGGATAACGGTGGGGATGTGAAAGATGAGGAAAGGTCTGGATTAGAGAATGACAGGGCTGTGGAGAGGGATGGGAATTTAACGCTGGCTCGCGGCCATTTTTCTGTGGGTCATTAAAATGAGTGTCAAGAAGGCTTATGGTGTGGTCAACGTTCATACTATCGAGGGAAGAGTTAAAGCTCCAGAATTCATTTTTTCCTGACCCTGAA